AGCGCCCTAACCACCTGGCTATGCCGGGCCATTTTTTTATCTGATATATATCTCTCTCTCCTTTGAGAGGGAACTGTCGTCCACAGTTCTTCTTACAGTGGGCTACACTCTATATTGTAATACATGCAAATCAAGCATTGGTTTTACATTTTCTTTTAACTTACATTCAATCTCATTCCTTCAATTCAGTCAGGTCATAAATTTGGTTTAACTACGTGTTACATTTTCTACCAGCTGTCGCTGTTCCTATTCTCAACTAAAAATTAAAATTAATCTGAGAATACCACAACAGAACTAAATAGCCAAAATAACAGCATCCAGTTTTTCAAAGAAAAATTATCTTTCTTAAAATTATCTTTCTTAAATGTCTTGACAACTAGAAAAAAAAATCCAGAATTCTAAAGTCGTACAATACAAACTTCAACACGCTTTACCGGAAAAGCAAGCTGTAAACCAAGATCACAACTTTTAGGGATTACGGAGAGGAAACTAGCCCTGTGTGGTATAAGTATTGCAACTGCAACTAATATCATTACTATGCATTTCAATGTGTAAGTTACTCCTAAATTTGATTAACAACAATCTCCTTTTTCCATACTGGCTAAATTATATTCTTTAGTTAAGATATTAAACTATATCAAAACGCAATATCAAATACGTTAAACGTTATTGTGAAATAGGCTTGTTCACATTTAACAATGAATACAGTTCTTTTTGCTGACTGTGAGCATCATATTAGCATGCAACGCTTAAGACTAGATGCAACTTTAATGCAACATTGAAAGAATATGATTTATTTTGTAAACATACGCTGCCGGGTCAGCGTTAACTTTACGGACTTACAACGCTAAAATCCAGGGTTCGATTCCACCTTTGTACTATGTGCAAATAGCTCATTACGTATCTTTCGCTCTAAGAGAGAGATATAATATATAGAATATTTCGTGTGCTATTGTTAACTGCGATTATACAGGCCTGCAAATTTTAACTTCATAAAAGTTGTTTTGGTTTTAATAACGGACTTTCTATAATTCAGCTACGTAAATTTCGAAAATAATAATCATTTTTTCCTATCACGTAAGAATTTTTTACAAATCGGGAAGAAGAAAAAACTCTTACTTAGATCAAATTATTATTTCCTTTACCACAATGAATATTTTTTATTATTATATTTGTTAACAAAAATACAAACATTAAATATATTGCGAAACCAGCATTTCCTGTAAGCCCCCCACCCCAGTGGCACAACGGTATGTCTGCTGACTTACAACGCTAGAATCCGGGTTTCGATACCCGTGGTGGGCAGAGCACAGATAGCCCATTGTGTAGCTTTGTGCTTAATTACAAACAAACAAACAAGTTCCTGTAATTGGCATACTAAACGTAAATTACTCACATTCTGCAAAGCATACTGATTCTGGCAGGTTACTGGCACTGGTGTGAGCTATGCCGCATAGTCAATATATCAATTACACGCTGCATTACAGACATTCATTAAGTTTGTTGTAAAAACCAACGTCACAATGACGCAAGCGTAAATTGTCACGCCTCTCGTTAAGAAAGAGAATATGTATTAAATATTTGTTCAATAGTTAAAGAAGGTCAACCACAAATTATAGCGACTCAATGATACACTGTATGATAGCTTAAAAAAACATTAGCATCAGAAATCCAAACCATGGTATACTACGTTTGTTTACTAGTACTTTAAATATTACTTGGAAGACTTCTTCACATAGATACGTCATTTGATTCTAAGAAATCCCACAGTATAACTTAGGCCTTTAAAACTCCTTTGTATTATCATGTTACGTAAGTAGCGTCATGAAGGTTTAAATTGTTCTTTATAATATGGAACCGAGAAGCTTACATATACATTTTGTATTGTTATTATTGTTCACAGACAAACAGTGTATGTTGCTCAGCTGATTTACTTATTAACTACTTTGTTTGATGAATATTTGTTATTGTTATTGTTTTTATAAAAGTCATATCCATGCTCAAAATAAAGCATTCATTGATATGAAGTATCTTTCCTTTGTTCAATAATAAATACGTTTATATTATACGATTCTTTTTCGAACTAGTGTGTGTTTTGTTATCGAGATTGTGAATCGCTGGGATTTATAGCGCGTATTATTAAAGTAGTTAAGTTTAAAGTGACGAGAAACGTACTGATTGTGAAATTACTGCTAAAAGTTTGTATCAACGAAGAATAAACTGGTTTAACCAAGAAAGTTCTTGTATCGCTGAAGATTCTCGAAAAGAATTTTAACCGGGAATTAAAAAACAAGCAGATAGTAACACAAAGATGTACGAGTATAGCCTGATAACTTTAAATTCTCACAGAATCCGACGTTTTTTAGGTCGGAAAATTATGGAATCACTTCTTAAAGAAAAATATAAACCAACAATGAGTAAATACAATGGATTGTCCTTCTCTTAAATTTAACTAAATTTCTTGAAGATATTCTTACTTTTTATGGCAATAACTCTTATTGTTTATTTACGTGCCACGAGCTTTGTAATAACAGGAATTATATGCTTTTGTGCGTGGTTTAATTCTTAGGATATAACGGTTTTAATTTGAGAAAATGTATACTCCTGATTAAGACGTAAGCCGAAATGTTGAGCAAATAAAATAATTTGAAAAATTCTCTTGAGTATACGGTTGTTTTATTTATTCGTAACAAATATTGTTTTGCTTTTGCACTAGCGCTATCTTACATCACCATTACATGCCATATGCTTAAATAGTGGAGGCCGAATTTTTTTATGAAAGATTATTGAGTCATTACGAAGGTTGGGGACGTAGACTGTGTACTTGTGTTAAGCCCAATTTGTCAGTAGTCGTGACTGCTTGGAACAGAAGGTAAGATTAATTAAAACATTTGTTACGACGATATTGTTTAACGCTTTGGAGTTTATTAATAGATCTCTAAATGCACAATCTGGTGTTAATGTACTACTACTGAGTTCTAGATTCAGCCAAGATGTGTTGAATTTAATGTAACTGTCTGCTACTACTAGTACTAGTTTTATTTAGTTATGTATTGACGAATGTGATTTTACCAATCTGTGTGGGCTATATAGTAATTGAAGCAAGTGGAATGGCTATTTTTGTTATTCCTAGAATAATTTTAATGGTATAAACTGGCAAGGAAGTACCCAAGACAAAAATTTAACTGTTCCTTCATTATTTATTTTTGCAAGTTTTCTGCAATTACTGTATTCCTCTTCGAACATTTGTCTTTGCATTTACGTAAATATAACCATCTAACATAAGTTAAGAGTTTAAAGGTTAAAAATATTGTGCTTCATAATTAATCCATTCTGTTATTACCATTAATTTTGCCACTGAAAACTTTTCAAAAGTCTGTGCACAAACACTGTTTTCTAGATTTATTCACATAGATCCCGGGGTGGTGTGTTTAAGAACTTGGAGAGGTTTAGCTTTCCCAAATAAACTGTCCCTCGTGGGGCATTATTCTCACTAATTCAAAAATATTATGCAGTATTTGTAGAGAGAGACAGAGAGATCAAAAGAAGATATGTGAATAGATCATGTAATCAGTAGTAAACATTTTACATAACTATTTCAGAACACCCAACAATAAATATGTCTATTAATATGTACTTACACAGTGTTTTCAGTGGAGATAAGGTGCTGGGTAAATTTCCTACCTACTCCATTTAATGTATCTGACTATTTTGGTTCTCTTGACCTTTTTTGACCTTGAGTAACTCTGATCAAACTGCTTTAACTGGAATGTCATTAAATGTTTGAAATCATTTTGAAGCCATTTTAATGATTTTTAACATAACATTTTGGGACAACATAAGACCTATTCATCCATCTCAGCTGTTCTATCCTCTAAACTAAACTAAAGCTATTAATAAATAAATTTAAAGAAATCTTAAAGCCAGCCTTTATCATTTATATATCAAACTTTCTCTTAAACTCACTTAAATTTACTGCCTCCACAACATCTAAAGGCAACTTATTCCAAAGGCCAAAATAGAAAAATTGTTAGAAAAATATATTATATTAGGTAAAGATGACTCCTACCCTGCCAAAATTTATATTTGTGTCCCCTATGTACCACACTTGAGACATTAATCCAGCTTGACTGAACAAACCTCTGCTCTCTTCCATCCAGCCACTTTTCTATCCAATTTGCTAACTTAGCCCCACACTTATAGGGATAAGTTTTTTACTAGCCATTTATGTGGCACCTTGTCAAATACTTTCTGAAAATCCAGATACACCAAATCTACACTCTTACCCTCATCTACATAAGCAGTAACCTTTTCAAAGAATGTCAAAAGATTTGTAAGGCAAGATGTTCCTATAGAGAAACTATCCTGACTGTCCAATAAAATTAAACTTTGTTAAATGACTTTGTAAAGCATCTTTTATCAGACTTTCCAAACTTTTACCACAACTGATGCAAGACTAAAGGGTCTATAATTACTGGGATAATTTTTATCACCTCCCTTGAAAAAAAGAAGTTACATTAACTAACTTCCAATCTTCTGGTACCTGCCCACTATTCAAGAACTGACAAAAAATAGTAGTTGATTCAGCTGGTATATCAAATGGACTGGGATATCTTCAAATAAGTTCTTCCCTCATCTGACCTGGACCCGTTGTTTAGCTTAATCACTACACTTAAACCATCACATTCACAAACACATGTAGAAGTATATTTCATTGCTACATTGTTTTAATTTACGTTTACAAGTTAACTTCATGTTGACTTATGTGGTCTCAGATAAGGTCACGGAGGGACTTTGTTTTGTTTTTTTTTCTTTTTTGGCACCTACATTAAGATGCCAGGCTGGTTTGTGTGGAAGATGCTAAAAAAGAAACCATATTGAGTGTTGATAAAATAAAGTGAAAAGGTGATATGAAGACCAACTAAAACAAAAATGTTAGATAGAACTAAAAAGATTAAAAAATGAATGTAGAAAATGAACATAAGTCTTAAGAAAGATCATGGTTAAAAATAGGGAATTCGTACCAAATGTGAGAAAGTAAAAAAAGAAATAATTATTTTTCTGAAAATGAACTAATTAATGGTTAAAGATCACTGATTCCAGGATCTAGAGTTATTCTGCAAGGTTGAAGGCATTTAAAGTGGCAATCCAATAGGCTTAATTTATTTCTTTATCTTCTTAGTTGAAGTGTTACGCAACAGGGAGATCTTTTTGTTATTAAGTTTACTGGACATTCAAATTGTAGCTACTTTTATGAATACATTGCCTTGGAATATTACTCTGAAGGAAAAGGAACATGTTTAGTCTCTTTTTTATAATTTCATATGAAATTTTGCTGCTCTTACAAAGCTTTAACATAAATAGAACTGTGTTGTATTTGTTATTAGTCCAAAAAGATAAATGTGTAGAGAATATATGGTATATTAGGATACTTATTACAGTATTTAAATGGAAAAATCAAGAAACTACAATTTTAAAATATGTGCATAAAAGTATAAAACAGCTAAAAATAAACACAGATAAGCAGAAACCCTATAAATAATACAACAAAGACCATGTACTCTATCAAGATGCATAAGCTGTTTAAACTTTTATATTATCACATACAGAAAACAACATAAATTCACTCATTTTTGGAATACACTTGGCTTCTTATTGAAATATTTTGGTCAATTTTACTGTCATATATTGAAGAACCATTTTTACACATTCTCTTGTTGAAAATCTAAATTTACACTAATATTGTTTTGAGAAATTTTAATGTCAAATATGAAAACTTTATGGTCATTTCAAGTTGGAAATGTAATTAGAGGTCAAATTAAGTTATTTCTTGATGGAGAATTAACAGTTTTTGAGAATGCAGTCAAAGGGTTAAATGTAGCTACTACTACAGAAAACATAACTTGCAGTCTATCAGAAAAAGATTTCAGAATAACTTTAAAATTTACAGTTCAGAAAGTTGAAATGTAAACCTTACTGTTGTACAACTGTATTGGATTCAAGAATTCGAGTACCACCAGAACAGGCAACATTCTGCAATACAATTCACAAAGGAAATAGAAACTGATGAATCTCCATTCCTTGAAACAAGCATTACAAAGACACAACTTGCATACCACCAGAGTTTGAGAAACCTATAGGTATGGGTGGATAACTGAACTACATTGTATAAATCACATCACACCACATTTATAAAGACAGGAGGTGTCAGAGACTGTTTAATTTCAAGAATAAACAAGATTTGTAATACCTAAGAAACTAAGAAGGTGAAAAAACAAATCATTACAACTCTCCATAACAATGGATACTCAGAGCACTTGATACTGATGAAAATAGGAATAAATTATGTACATGCAGCATTATTTCCTCGTGTCACAGGTCTCTCTCAAAACATAAATAATAGGTAAACTTAAATTCAAAAGTGTTCAGAAACCACAGAGCTATATGATTGCAGTTAATACATACCAAACCACATAAAATAAAATGTAGAAGAAAAACACTGCTTACGTCATCCCCCTGGGCATGTGAATTCCAATACACTGTAGAAACTAAAATTAGGACTAAGAAGCATAATAGACATATAAAACTGTAACACTGATCTTTTCACGAAAGCCCCCTCATATTAGAGAAGACCATACAATAACGTGGAGTGATACTAAAATAATACGTTATGAACCACATGTGAGAAAAAATGAAAGGTAAAAGGAGCTTCCTACATCCACCCAACCTAGCACAGAAGTCAGTAAGACCTGGATACTCTTCAACATTAGCTAAATGGTTGAGACACCAGTTGAGGGGGGGGGGGATGTCAAGGGGTTAGCACATTAGATTTACATAAAGAACAACCAGTATCACATTCTGACTACTATAAACACAGAAAAGTCCTTCTCAGCACTTCCCTGAAGATAGGAGCAGATTAGGAGCCAAGATATAATATGAAGTACAGTAATTAGTATCTAGTTATAAAAAATAAATTACTTATTAACAATTAAGTTGGGTGATGATATAGACCAGTGGTTCTTAACTGGGGGTACAAAATTACTTCCAGGGGGTACAGGGCAGCAGTTCAGCACAGTAGCTATATGTTGGTGCAGCTCAAAGAAATGCTGATGGTGCCACTGTGGGGGTACATGACAATGTTATATTAACTAGGGGTACATTACTAGGATATAGACTACTAGCCATGACGATGATTGAACTCTTATTACCAGAACCTTACTGTAAGTGCTTACTAAACTTGTGGAAGATAAAAAATGTAGTTGTTTTGTATGATCTGGTCAGTTTTGGTGTAAGTTAAGTGGACTACATGGGATTTTTTTCATCTGTTTACTTCATCTATTACCTACTTTGTGGAGCTTTAGTAGTCTGTACAGTTTGTTGTACTTCTGTCAGCTTGTTTGCTTTGTTTCTTGCAGTAGACTTTTGTTTTTGTATCTTTTATTTTGAGTTATTTTATGCGACAGTTTCTCACACAATAATAAACCCAAATAGAGAAATATCTATAGATGTTAACCAGTTGACGTGTGTGTGTCTATATATAGTGTAAAATGTCGTACAGCATGCATGTTTATTGATGTAGAAAACTCAATATATACCTGAGCAACATCTATGCAGTATTTAAAATTATCTTGGAAAAACAAAGGATGAAATTAAAAGTAGAATTATTACAAAATCTAAATAAAACTCTAAATTAATTATGTTATTTAATTTTTGGTCTGAAGGTCGCGATGGCAACATTTCAAACTCGAGATGACCCTATGGTAAATTGCCCTTATAACAAGGCACACCGTGTATCCAGAAGCCGAATCCAAAGCCACATCCTGAAATGTAGGAAAGTAAGTGTAAAGTCTGATAATCTGAGGTTGTTATTCTGTCTTTCTCTCTTTAGCTGGATAGTGCTCTTGATAAAGTATCCTGAAAATGAATTCTAACATACACTTGTATTTGTGTTCAAATATTTGTTTATAAATATACTGTGTGTGTATATATATTTAACTAGGAAAAAATAGAATTGATAAAATATAATTCTATGAAATAATTGCTGTTAATTTAACTTGCAGTAATGTTGTGTAGTAATTCACGTCTTTTGATTATCATTGTTAAGTCTTGTTTCTACATACATTTTTGAGTTCTTTCTTGGATACGATGTTGGTAGGTCATGAGTATCAATTGAATAGTTCGTTGAAAATCACAAAATAGATGTTGTGGTTTAATAAAGAATTCTGTACCAAGAGACAGGTGTGAAATAGGCTTAAGAGCAATAAATAACTGCATAACAGACGATGGTTGTACTTGCACATTTGTGATTTTAGGACAGTTCGATACTGGAAGCATAATTACTTTAGCCTAAATTGCATACACTTTTCTGTTCTAGGAGTCTTAATTCTCCATATGTCAGGAATTGATATTTTTTTATGATTTATTACATCATGTGGTATGATCTATAGTGGATTTTCTAAGCTGAAATAATATCATAAAATACACATTCACAAAAATAGTTAATACTAAAATGAATAAAATCCAAACATCTAATCAAATAGTACACTTAAGTTTGTACACTTAACAAAATTTATGTTGGTTAGAAACTCATCAAAGTCTGGAGACTTGACATCAAATTTAGAGGATTCCATGGTGGTAAGCATATCAAGTCTGGAGCTCTACCACCTTGTCTTTAGAGGATTCCTTGGTGGTAAGCATATCAAGTCTGGAGCTCTACCACCTTGTCTTTAGAGGATTCCTTGGTGGTAAGCATATCAAGTCTGGAGCTCTACCACCTTGTCTTTAGAGGATTCCTTGGTGGTAAGCATATCAAGTCTGGAGCTCTACCACCTTGCCTTTAGAGGATTCCATGGTGGTAAGCATATCAAGTCTGGAGCTCTACCACCTTGCCTTTAGAGGATTCCTTGGTGGTAAGCATATAAAGCCTGGAGCTCTACCACCTTGTCCTTTAGAGGATTCCTTGGTGATAAGCATATAAGTCTGGAGCTCTACCTTCTTGTTTTTAGAGGATTCCATGGTGGTAAGCATATCAAGTCGGGAGACTCTACCAC